TGATATCACCATTTTTATTGCTAAGCACGCCACTTCGATAAAGCGGCGCGACACGAGAACCCTCTCATCGTGGCCGCCGGTAACTACATTCCCGATCCTGCGGAAAAAATGGAAAGCAGTCGACGTCGACGTCGCCCAAAACACGTCATCTCGGATCCTCCCGATCCACTAACGGTGCTTTTAGTTACCTCAAGCACCGATCACCATGTAAAGATAGCGGTCGTTGGTCGAATGTTCTGTCGTGTCCTATTTCAACGAACCGAATCAATTATTATTATTGTAACCACCTAATTTTTAGCTTACGCTTCAATTGTTGCTCGACGAGCGAATTAACCCACAGACACAGCCCACACATCTTCTCAATGGGTCGCGTTTCCGATCCGGTGGTAGATTCTGCGAAGCACTGCTCTTGCTAGGGTTCGTGTTAGCAACGTCGTCAGGTTTGAGCCCCGTGAGCTCACCTACTAGTTAAGGTTACGCTGGAACAGCCTCCTAAGGCTACCAGCTTAGGTAGCAATAAAAAAAAATTGCTAAGCAACTCTAACACACGTATGCAGTGTACATAAAGTTTAAAATTTGGATAAAATATCATAACAAAAAAACTTCTCTAGCTATTTTTCAATGGAGTAAACGTAATTGATGTTCAATTTAAAACATCGAACTGTTAATGCTAACATCTTTAATTATAAAGATAAACGTTTTAAATAATACTAGAGGTCCCGCAGTAGTCGAAATTCGACTATAATTAATTGGAATTGTAAGTCTGTACACCATTATGATTGTATTTTATACTTCTATATTCACAAATTTTGCCATGACTACACTATAAAAAATATTAACAAAGACAAACAATATTTAATGTATTCTCAATTTGACAACAGACGTGAAGAACAAAAGTTTGACAATAAATAGTATGCATGCGTGTGTGCGTCAAATACATGGTATGTAGTGTGTGTAATGTTTTCTTTATTGATTTAATGTATCTTTTATGCATAATTTAAAAAAACTATTAGCATTGTGCACTTCTTCTCTATATTCTCTATAAGTGTGGAAAATTTCATACTCCTCCGTCCGCGCAATTTTCGTAAAAAGGGACACAAAGTTTTTGCTTCACGTATTAATATATAGATACAATTTTCTTTCAAATCATAAATATCGCGTCTCAGTATTTATTCATGTTATATTTGTTATACATATCAAGAAATATACAATAACAGGTTGGAATTTCCCGAGCTCTTCCAAATCTCAATATTTGATTCGTAGATATTGAAGTTTTGAACTGAATAAATATTTTAACAAACTTTATATAACTTTAGATTAGATTTAAACAGTTTCTGAGATGGATCCATTTAAAGCGATAGATTTAGTCTTTTATATTAACAGAATAACAAGACTACAGATCTTTTTTTTTATAGCTTAGATGGGTGGACGAGCTCACAGCTCACCTGTTGTTAAGTGGTTACTGGAGCCCATTAACATCCACAACGTAAATGTGCCACCCACCTTGAGATATAAGTTCTAAAGTCTCAAGTATAGTTACAACGGCTGCCCCACCCTTCAAACCGAAACGCATTACTGGGTCACGGCAGAAATAGGCGGGGTGGTGGTACCTACCCGCGCGGACTAACAAGTGGTCCTACCACCAGTAATCACAAGTGGTTCTACCACCAGTAAATCTATCTGACCTAATTACAAATCAAAACTATCCAGGCACTCCAACAACAAAAATGAGTCTGGCCATTAAGTTACATACACACCTATTAAACTATTAGTGATTAATTGGAAGAATCTCTCTGCCGCTAGCATTTCCTCCTTCATGTTTCTGCTACGAGGTGTCATTCAACGTGGAATGTTTAACTAATGCTTACTGGTGGTAGGACCACTTGTGAGTCCGCGCGGATAGGTACCACCGCCCTGCTTATTTCTGCCGTGAAGCAGTAATGCGTTTCGGTTTGAAGGGCGGGGCAGCCGTTGTAACTATACTGAGACTTTAGAACTTGTATCTCAAGGTAGGTGGCGCGTCTACGTTGTAGATGTCTATGGGCTCCAGTAACCACTTAATACCAGGTGGGCTGTGAGCTCGTCCACCCATTTAAGCAAAAAACAACAGCAAACATTAAATAGGAGTCCAGAAAAACGACGTATTGGTTGTAACTTACTTCCTAGTTTTTTTTATTTTTTTTTATTGCCTTTGTAGGCAGACAAGCATATGGCCCACCTGATGGTAAGTGGTCACCGTCGCTCATGGACGCCAGCAATGCCAAGGGCAGAGCCAAGCCACTTCCTACCATTAAGTACTCTCCGCAAGCCTCGTTTGAAGAAGGACATGTCATAGCGTGAAGGAATCACCTGAACCATCTGAACTATTTCGCCCGTCCGATGACCGGTAATAGGATAACTTCTTGATGCTCCCGAGAGAGATTGAATAATGTTGCCTAATCTTGTCACAATAGATTGCCTTAGTTGGAGATTGTTGGCCAAACTGACACTTAAGATTTCAAATGACAAATGGGCATTAACGGGCTCTATCTATATATTAATACGTGAAGCAAAAACTTTGTATCCCTTTTTACGAAAATTGCGCGGACGGAGGAGTATGAAATTTTTCACACTTATAGAGAATATAGAGAAGAAGTGCACAATGCTAATATTTTTTTTAAATAATGCATAAAAGATACATTAAATCAATAAAGAAAACATTACACACACTACATACCATGTATTTGACGCACACACGCATGTATACTATTTATTGTCAAACTTTTGTTCTTGACGTCTGTTGTCAAATTGAGAATAGATTAAATATTGTTTGTCTTTGTTAATATTTTTTATAGTATAGTCTTGGCGAAATATGTTACTAGAGAAGTATAAAATACAACCTTAATAGTGTACAAACTTACAATTCCAATTAATTATAGTCGAATCTCGACTACTGCGGGACCTCTAGTGCTTGATAATCCTCCGTCGGAAGTGTTAACGAGGTAGCGAAACGTTCATGATACCTTATCTTATCTTATCTTATCTTTAATGATGACATTACTAATGTGATTCACGTTAATATAACTGTTTTTGATTGTGGGGTTTTTTTTTATATTTTAGTATATAGTTCGTGCTTTATTGTTTATTTTATTATAATTATATATATTTATTACTTTGATTTTTTTTTATTGCTTAGTTGGGTGGACGAGCTCATAGCCCACCTGGTGTTAAGTGGTTACTGGAGCCCACAGACATCTACAACGTAAATGCGCCACCCACCTTGAGATATAGGTATAATACAGGATGGTCATGAAAACTCATGCGGGATATCAATGCATCCGCAGAATACGAACTTAGTGACTTAGAAAACTTTTAATGATCTTTGTAATCGATTTGTATATAGTTATACTGATCGTTGTTATGCCTCGATGAAGAATACGATAAGAAATGACGTCATTAATTTCTCTCGGTGAAATAAATTTTGGAAGCACCCACTTTCATGATGAATTATTATGGCAGATAAAATGGTACCCCGTTCTTTTCGTGTTTTATAACGTTTTCCTTGTTTCGTCCGTTGAATAAAACATTTCCGTATGTTTATTTAGGTATCTGATGAGGTCTTCCGGGTGCCGCTTAGATAAATTTGTTTTTTTTTTTAAATATATTTTGTAAAATGAAACACCGGTTTTATGGCATCACGTCTTTTTAAGTATCGTGTTTTTTTGTTTTTTTTTTTTGTTTTGTGGAGAAGGTACTAGGAAGTTTTGGAAATAAATTAACGAATATTCTGAATGTCGCTTCTAAATCATGTGCTTATCGAACTAAGGAGTGTTTAAAACACTGCTCTGTTTATGAAATGACTCGTAAGCATAACGTTGACGCAGTCTAGGTTAATTACTTAAAAATACAAATTCTTTTTCCTTCACAATTAGAAGAGCTAGTACCGCATAATATGTCAAGAATGAGACATAAAACACCTGTCGATATATGTGTAGGATATGTTTTATTGCACTCTGTACTCGTGGTAGGACTTCTTGTGAGTCCGCGCGGGTCCACCACCGCCCTGCCTATATCTGCCGTGAAGCAGTAATGCGTTTCGGTCTGAAGGGTAGGGCAACCGTTATAACTATACTGAGTTCTTAGAACTTATACCTATTATAGTTATTGAAGCCATATACTATATTCCTTTTCTTATTCATTTGGTCATAGCATATATGACTGAGGACCGAATCTCTGGTTGTTTTTCAAAAGGCGTGACGTCGAAATTGAGTTAATAGGCGGAATCGTTTGGTATCACCAGTATTTTTCTCATAAATACTGTCAAAAGAGCGTAGTTTAGTTTTAGTTTTTATGTATTAGTTTACCTATGTTTTGACTCTCTCCTTGCGTCGTATTCCTCATTGCTGAGGGTCGTGACCACCCTTTTGTATCACCTTCGCACGCACGATTTTTCTCCATCCATTCTTCTCTCTGGCGGTGTGGAGGGCGTTGTGAATCGTGGAATCAAGAGCGGTGCGGATCTGGTCGGACCAACGTATTGGGCTGCGCCCCCGAGGTCTTTTCCCATCTACCTTACCAGTCACGATGAGCCTCTCGAGATTGCTACCATCCTTACGTGCGATGTGACCAAAGTATTCAAGGACTCTGCGAAGACACTCGGATGACAGCCGCGAGGAGATTTTGAGTTCTTGCAAGATTGATACGTTGGTCCGAAATGCTGTCCATGTTTTGATTACTGTTAACAAAATTAAAACATACTTTTATCTTACTTTAAAAGACAGATCATGTATTATAACTAGTAAAAAATAAAAAATAAATGTTGCAAAGATGATTAATATTAAAAATATCACATGTTAAACTTTTAAAAGACTCTCGTGTAAAATTAGTAAGTTTTGAGATTATACAGTTTTAATGCGAGAAGACGATTTAATATATGCAACAACAGCCGGCGACCAAATAACAAATATTGTACAAATCCGTAACACGGTTTTATTATTCACAGTTTCCCGGTAACAGCAGACATGGCGCCGATGAGCTCTCTCCTCGTTTATTACGTCACTGAGGCTGGTGAACCAGTCAGCGACGTGGCCAGTTTCCATGTCCGCCTCCTTCACAAGGAAGTAAGTGATTGAATTAATTACCAAGAAAAACAATAAGTCTTTTAGGCAAATGTCTTTGTACTATCGTGAGCTTATAAATTCTGTAAGATAGATAAGAATTCGTTTCGGTTTGAAGGGTGTGGCAGCCGTTGTAACTATAATTGAGACCTTAGAACTTATATCTTAAGGTAGCGCATTTAAGTTGTAGATGTCTATGGGCTCCAGTAACCACTTAACAGCAGCTGGGCTGTGATCTCGTATACCCTTCTAAGCAATAAAAAAGTAGTATGCTGTGCGTTTCACAAATTTTTGGTATGACGAGGCTTGTTCGAAAACTTTGTTTGTATGTATTTGTTACATGTACCAATAAATTTATGTATTAGGTATGTACTTGTTTATTATACACAGTATTATTATGCACAGTAGTAGTTTTAAATTAAATTGACTATTAAAAAATGACAATTTTGAGGAAAAATCAAATAAATTTTCGTCGTTTAAAATTTCGTACTATTTCCGTTTAATGGCTATAACCATTTTCTGATTATTATCTTTATCTTTAGATGCATTTTTAATTTCTAATTTGCTCTTGTTATTCTTTAATATTATTTTTATAATTACAGAGTAACAATCCAAACAATCCAATCTAAAAAGCGAGGGTAACAAAACAAATAATGTTATTTACATATTTAAATAAGTTTATTAATGAATCAAACACATCAATACTTCAACACCGTCTAAATTAACACCACCCGTAAATCCGATAGTAAAATTTTCAAGTTTTACTGTGACATTTCCACCAACATGAACCATTATAATGAAAAGTGCTACACGAGCCGTTTTGTTAATTGACGGGAATGTTCCAACTATCCAAACAAAGGCAGTTCACATGCAAGTGACATCCATATGTAGTGGCACATATCTTGGTTTATTACTTTTGGTTCGAAAACAAATATTTTATCTATACTTCTATAGGTATTATAAAGAGGAAATATTTAATTTTGTTTGCTTGTATTGAATAGGCTCCGAAACTACTGAACTGATTTGAAGAAATCTTTCACTGTTTAGAAGCTACACTATTCCCGAGTGACATAGACTATAATCTTTTTTAAAAAAAATTTGGGTTCCTTACTAAAACTCCAATAATATAACCCAAAGTGTAAAAAACTTACCTAAAATATTCTTTACATAACATGTCCTACGAAAACGATTGATGATAGAATAAAATAATGTACTACGACTTTGTAGAACACATTATAATTTACAAAAAGCGGAGTAGACATCGTATTTCTAACTATTATAGTTATGCCACAATAAGTGTTATTTTATTTAAAAAAAGAAAACGTCTAATATTGTTGAAATTTTTGTTAAAGACTCGAGCGAAGCCGGAGCGGGCCGCTTGATTATAATAAATTCATTAATTTCAATACTTTGAGCTCATTATTATTCAATCATATACCTTTGATATTATTATGTTCTAGTTGATATCTAAATTTGTGTTCGTCGACAATCTATTAACGAGACCTTGACAATAATGGTGGACAAAGCGAAAAGTGATTTGTTCGTAAAGCTAAACCCGATCATATTCCGTGGATATTGCGATAGATATGAAAACTGTATTGTAACTATACTCTTAGTTAGAACTCAAATCTCAAGGTGGGTGGCAGCATTTACGTTGTAGATGTCTATGGGCTCCAGTAACCACTTAACACCAGGTAGGCTGTGAGCTAGTCCACCCATTTTAGTAAAAAAAAAAAAACAATTCGTTTCATTTTAAACAAAAAATCGATTATGAACTTTTCGACGTTCAATTGTAATTCACACTAAACTTCGTCCCCTAAACCGAATTCGATATCTCCAGCACGAAATCAGTTTTCAAGTAATCTTTCGGTCTGACAAAGGATCGAGATTCGGCTTCGAGATTGCGGAACACAGTATCCTTTCCATAAATTACAATTCCCAGACGCTTTCGAATTATATAGAAAATATTCTGTAGAGAAAATATTAATAATACCGCCGTGGAAAAGAAAATTAATAGGCACCTCCATTTTAATTAGCCTTAATAGCTTCAGCTCCTGGCTTCCTAAAAGGTGTTCCGGAACGACAAGTATTGTAATGATTGGGCTCTTCCAATTAACGCTCGGCCCTTTTGAAAGTAATAAATGTGGCCTTAATGGTACATCTTCATTCACGTCATTACGGCATCAGTGCGCCATTTTGAGAAAGCGGCACGACACGAGAACCCTCTCATCGTGGCCGCCGGTAACTACATTCCCGATCCTGCGGACCGTATGGAAAGCAGTCGACATCGCCCAAAACACGTCATTTCAGATCCTCCAGATCCATTAACGGTGCTTTTAGATACGACAAGCACCGGTCACCGTCCTCGTCGAACCCGTCGCTTGCGACGAAGGGCTCGACGAGTGAATTAACCCATAGACACAGCCCACTGAGTTTCTCGCCGGATCTTCTCAGTGGGTCGCGTTTCCGATCCGGTGGTAGATTCTGCGAAGCACTGCTCTTGCTAGGGCCAGTGTTAGCAACACATCCGGTTTGAGCCCCATGAGTTCCCCTACACGTCAAGGAGAAGCTGATATAGCCTCTCAAGGCTATCAACACGTCACGATTATGTATCTAGCAATGATCATTATAGATTGATTAGCATGTTAACAATTGTATAAATGAGTTTTTACTTTAGTTCGATTGGATAATTGCATCTACATTATTTTGTATCAATAATCGAAGTTTTATTTACCATTTGAAATTTACCATTTGAAAAACCAATTTCAAGAAAGCTGTTTTTCGCCAAACTAAATCTAGATTTTTTGTATTTGTACTTAAGTTGTGGAGATTTTATAATAATTGTTAAAATCTAGTATTTCATATTATCAGATTTCAGTGCCACAAACTTTTAGAGATTACACCCTGCTTCATCAGAGTCGCTGCGTTTAATCAACGAACACTAATGAAAGGCAATTCATTGTCGGTTAAAGGGTGCAATTAAGGACGTTGTAATTCGGTTGATTGTATCCCAAATCGGTTTTATCTCGGCTTGTTGTACCCAATAACCATATTCTAGGCAAGATAATTGCCTCAACATAACTTGGTTATGTAGTCTAAATAGAAGCGATTGTCAAATTGAAATGATCATGTAATTGTTGAAATTGTGCAATAATCATTTTAGATAATTAGCTTTAACTTTATATTCTTGATTTCATATTATTATTATGAGTATATATTAAAATTATGTTAATATTTATTAAATTCTAGGTATTTTTGCTACGAATTTCAAACGAATTTTGAGCGAATTTCTGCACAAGAAAACAAACCGAAATACTAGACAATATGCCATTCATATTTAACGAAAATAGCTTTAGTTCCTGGCATCACAGGTCGGTGTCGTAACCGGAATTACATACGTTATTATATTGAGCACTCTTACGAATTGGGTAGGAGCCTAATTATACGCCACCTATTTCAGCTACGAAGGAATCTTGCATTCCACTGTGAATAGTGTAACAGTTTTGTACAATACAAATGAGACATTAACCTTTCGCTTCAAGTCTCTGGGCTCTGTAATCGCCGCGCCGACCAGTCACCGTCCTCGTCAAGCCCGTCGCTTGCGACGAAGTGCTCGACGAGCGAATTAACCCATGGACACAGCCCACTGAGTTTCTCGCCGGATCTTCTCAGTGGGTCGCGTTTCCGATCCGGTGGTAGATAATGCGAAGCACTGCTCTTGATAGGGCCAGTGTTAGCATCACTCCGGTTTGAGCCCCGTGAGCTCACCTACTAGTTAAGTTTACGCTGAAATAGCCTCTCAAGGCTATTAGCTTAGGTAGGAAAAAAAACCGCGCCGTCGACTCAGCAATGCAATAAAAAACTTTAAAAAAACAATCAGTCCCACCAAGCTCGCTCTACCCGTACTCAGAGACTCTTTTTTCAGGTGGCAGTGGCAGTCGAAGAAAGAAGATGGTGGTATCCCAGAGCTGTATTACAACTCCGAGTTCTAGCTCCCCCAGATTCAACAATGTGCCTTATCGGTGCTCGGACTCCTCCCGATACACGATTTGATCCTCATCAAACGTAAGTACACTTAAATGCTTCTATTGTTAAATGTATGTGATATCTTTCAATTCTTCATTAAGACCGTCAGCAATTTCTTTCGAAATTATGTTGCTATAAACTTGAAAAGCTTCTTGAAAAAAAAACCCTATTTACTAGTCTTCATTATGAATAGTTAATACTTCACTGAAAATTAGTTTCAAGTTGGTACGAACTATACAGAAAAAATCATCTTCAAAGCAAAAGTCTGTAACCTATAATTCGGGTATACAATTTATCAATGATTCATTTTAATAGCTTAAGCATAGATGCAACATACTCGTATTATTATGTTCGATTAAGATATTAATTACTTGTCATGTATGAGATCAAAATGGAAAATTTGACGTATACATAAGTAGTTTCGCTATCGATAATCCAATTCATTCTTAATATAATTAATTCTCTCTGATACTTTCATCCGTCAATTCGTATGCCCATTCTTCATTAAGCTTTCCGCCAATTGGTTTCCTGTAACGAACCTTAATAAAACCTATATTCCATTAAAGCTTGCCTGCTCGTCAGTATTTTCTAGGTGCTTATTATAGAACAGTATCAAATGATCTTATAGTTGCTTTAATCTTTTGCGACCTTCCAAGAAAATTGATTTATTTTATCATCAGTTAGACAGTTTGTGTCTTATAATAGTTCTATTTACATTTTTGATTGTACCTATAAAGTCTATAGCTTAAAAAAAGCGTCAACTCATCCGAGAATCCGATGACCGTCGTTTATTTCCACAAAATCGACCCTTGTTTTCCGAATCGCTTCCTGATCACCGAGTCTGGATTATGTCGTAGAATTCATCTTTCACTGGATCCGTCGAACAAAACTCACTGGGGACATTCGCAGCCTTCTCATCTGTCTAAACGTTGGACGCGTGTGAATTTGTCGCTTTATCGAAGCTACATGAATAATTTGCTTTTTGTTTGTTCAGTCCTTCAGTCCTTGTACAGAATGTTTGTTTAACTTTTCATTTCATATTTTCATTTCGGATAACGTTGCCGCTTTGTTTGTTCTTGTATTTATGTCTGTGTTTTGAATTTTATTTTCATATCTTTTGATTTTATATTTCAACAAGATACCTACTTAATATGTTGATTATTATCTATTGCAATCATACTATTACATGTGTTACTTAAGATTCTAATTATATTTGGTTGAACTAGACGTATATTTACAAAATTATTGACACGGTAATATAATACAACCAATCAGTAGCAATAAAACAGGATACTACAACTATTGAACGGTGTGAGATTTTTAAAGAAATAAAGGACAGATTTATTATTCAACAGTATTTTTAATTGTACATGAAACAATTTCATTTATTCTCAGCCGTACCTAATTTTGAATGAGTTGAAAATAGTGCAGTTGTTTTTCTTACATCTAAGGAGGATGAATAGGATAGGATGGATAGGATAAGGAAGATGAGTTCTGGTATAAAACATTGACGTACGAAGTGGTTGAGCCGAGTTATTAGAGCAACCGAATGATTGTTAGCTAACTGTTGATAGTAACAACAAAAGGTATCCGGACTTTACAGCTAGTATTTAATTTACAACATAAAGCCAATAATATATTTTTAGCGCATCATTAACAGATCCCATTTGTAAATATTAGGAGCACCGACCACGAAGACCAACCGGGCCCGGAATTCGTATCGGCCGGGGTTTCTCTGTTCGTTGGTGGTGGGACCTGCGGAGGAGGAGTTCTGTACAGACAGAGAACCGCTCCAGCTCCGTGTGCGCCGGCTCAATTGGTACCTCCTGCAAGTCACGACAGGCTCTGGATGTGGAAGTGCTTCAATTATACGTAAGTCCTATAAACATTATTACGAGTTTTATATTACAGATTATCAAAGACTATAGGCACGAGAATTTACAATGAGTTCTCGAACACATTTGATGAATTGCTGGTAAAAGCTATGATTTTGGCCCAAAACACGTCATTAGCCCAAAACACGTCATTACGGATCCTCCAGATCCATTAACAGTGCTTTTAGGTACCACAAACACCGGTCACCGTCCTCGCCGAACCCGTCGCTTGCGATGAAGGGCTCGACGAGCGAATTAACCCATAGGCACAGCCCATTGAGCTTCTGGCCGGATCTTATCAGTGGGTCGCGTTTCCGATCCGGTGGTAGATTCTGCGAAGCACTGCTCTTGCTAGGGTCAGTGTTAGCATCACTCCGGTTTGAGCCCCGTGAGTTCACCTACTAGTTAAGGTTACGCTGAAATAGCATCTCAATGTTTTGGTACAAAAAAGAAATTTTTTTTTGGTGCCGACTTATTGAAGATTTCCAGAGCCCATAGACCCAAAAACGTGAATTCCGCTGTCCCCATTAATACAGCAACAAAAAATAAGTTTAAATTGGTCTTACAGTTTGCTTGTTTATCTAAAAAGGCAAAGAAAGATAGAGTTTACTTGAAACTTGACCATACGTGTTTCCACTAAAACAAGAACATGTCTTCCAAGGATATAGCATTAATAGACAATATCAGTTAAACGAAGACAGAAGTTTCTTGAAATCTGCTTCGAATGTTTAACGTGAGGAAATTCAATATACATTCTCTACAAGTACAAGTTATAGCGTAATTACCATAAAATTAATAAGGGAATGAAGTTAAGCAACTTGGAAACGTCTTTACACGGAATTACTTGATTAGGCAAGAAATATAGAGGGAGTTTTAATTGATTTTAAAGATGGTCTTAAGTTAAGATTCTTAACTGTATGTATGTACTCTTTAATTTTGATGTAAGAGTTTCAAAAAAAGGTTCTCGATCATCTTATTTAAAAAAAAAGTTAGTTCTACGTTCATATCATAGAGATTAATTTAAATGTTAAATGTTTAACTCTAATTTGTATTTAGATGTAGCCGAGATAGGTCATCGGCCATGGAAGATAACGCAAACATTAAAAGAAAACCTCATGACACTTTATTACTTTTATATATAACGCTCCTGGTGCTAAACGGTATATATGTTTATATCAAAACATATATTTTTCGATGGGTTCCGGCAATATATGTAGCCATTATGATAGCTTATTACAAATTTATAGTAAAACAATTTCCACAGTAATAGTAGTAAAAGTCAAAAATAAAGCCAAAGCCACAGATGCTAGTCCCGCAGGATCAAACAAACTAAGATTACCAGGAAAGCCGGTTCGCATAAATTCAGAATCTGCTGATGCGGTTGTCACACGACATAAGTTACGGCTGCGTCTCGCCATGACAAATGTTCTTGCGTAATGAAACTAGAGCATAAAATAAATAAAAATAAATAGTAAAGCAATTCCCACAGTAATAGTAGTAAAAGTAAAAAATAAAGCCAAAGCCACAGATGCTAGTCCCGCAGGATCAAACAAACTAAGATTACCAGGAAAGCCGGTTCGCATAAATTCAGAATCTGCTGATGCGGTTGTCACACGACACAAGTTACGGCTGCGTCTCACCATGACAAATGTTCTTGCGTAATGAAACTAGAGCATAAAAGGCCTGGAACGCGGAAATGCAAATTTCATTAAATCAAACTGCATTTACTACAGTCCATATATTAATACGTGAAGCAAAACTTTGTACCCCTTTTTACGAAAATTGCGCGGACGGAGGAGTATGAAATCTCTCACACTTATAGAGAATATAGAGAAGGAGTACACAATGCTAATATTTTTTTTAAATAATGCACAAAAGATACATTAAATCAATAAAGAAAACATTACACACACTACCATGTATTTAACACAACACATACATAAAAATATACTCTTTGTTTTCTGTCAATTGGGAAACTTTTGTTATTGTTTAGTCTGTGGTCGAATTGAAAATAGATTAATATTGTTTGTATTTAATATTATTGATCTAAAGTTCAGTTTTGGCGAATACTGTGATTATATTATCGAAATATAATAGTATTTGACAATAGGACCATAATAATGTATAAACTTATAATTTCAATTAATTATAGTCGAATTTCGACTACTGCGGGGCCACTAGTAATAATAAATAGCCTAGCTATCGAAAGAGCTGTTGTCTTTTTCACTAATTTAGACATAATATGTGAAGCCGATAAATGTGTGTTTCTTAATTAATGTATAAAAATAGTATATTTGTAGTTAATTAATTCATTCGCACACGGTGATTTGAAATGATTTGCTACTTTTTATGGCTGTCGTAGATTTTCGGTGAGACTTTTTTCTTGTTAACATAAAGATAGCGGGTGATCCAATCCATCCATACAATTGGTGTACAATTGGTGAAATCAAAATATAGCCGGTATTCTTTAATAATAGTTTTATTATAGACTAGCGGCCCGCTCCGGCTCCGCTCGGGTCTTTAACAAAAAATTCAACGTTATTTGACGTTGTTTTATTTTTTTAAATAAAAGAACACTTATTGCGGCATAACTATAATAGTTAGACATATGCTGTCTGGACTTTTTTTTGTAAATAATAATGTGTTCTACAAAGTCGTAGTACATTATTTTATTCTATCATCAATAGTTTTCGCAGGGCATGTAATGTAAAGAATATTTTATGTAATTTTTTACACCTTGGGTTACGTTATTGGTGTTTTAGTAAGGATCCCTATTTTTTTTCAAAAAACATTATAGCCTATGTCACTCGGGAATAGTGTAGCTTCCAAACAGTGAAAGAATTTTTCAAATCGGTTCAGTAGTTTCGGAGTCTATTCAATACAAACAAACACATAAATCTTTTCTCTTTATAATATTAGTATAGGCGTCGTGTTCATTTTTATACCCATAACGTCACCGCTCAAAGATCTTGAACATAAACTAACGTGGAACAAGATAAATGTATCTGCAAATAGAATTGTATGACCTCACTGCATGAATACCACGTATCACGGTAATAGATCGATCGAATGGTCGAACAGTGAACTTCAAAGACTATAGAGAGACGCATCGAACCAGTGTATATACAAGCTTCAAATACTTCAGTTCCTACTGGTGGAAGGACCTCTTGTGAGTCCGCATGGGTAGGTAACACCACCCTGCCTATTTTGCTATATGGGCTTTAAGCTTGTCCACCCATCTATGCAATAAAAAAAATAAAAAAACAAAAGTTACGGCTAAAGTCTGAAAGGTAACTAACATTTGTTAGCAGATGAAGAGTTTCTTACGGCGGCTGTCTCACTTGACACAAATGAGTTTGCTTTGGGTCTAAAATAGATAGAATACGCGCGTATGAACTTGCAATGCAGTTTATTTAACGGACCGCTACTGAGATAGTCTCCTGTGCTATGAACGCCAGAAACAAGAGGAACGACTCGGACAATTGTAAATCAGTACTGAAAACACGAATTTACTTACTGGTGGTAGGACCTCTTGTGAGTCCGCACGGGTAGATACCACCGCCCCGCCTATTTCTGCCGTGAAGCAGTAATGCGTTTCGATTTGAAGGATGGTACAGCCGTTGTAACTATACTGAGCCCTTCAACCTTATATCTCAAGGTAGCTGGCGCATTTACGTTGTAAATTTCTATGGGCTCCAGTAATCAGTTAACACCAGGTTGGCTGTGAGCAGGGCCACCCACCTAAGCAATAAAAAAATAGTTAGGCTGGGCAGGGTTTGATAAATAGGATACTAAGTGAGGAAATTGCTTAGAAGGCCAGAATAAGCAGAGACATTGATCCGTCACTAAAAGTCATCCTAAGCAACGAAGGTTTTTTTTTATTTACAATATTAAAAGATCAAGACCTATTCGATATTGAGTAGAAAACATAGATTTCATAGAGTAAATATCGCTGTCTAATGTCAACAAATAATAATATCCTATATAAAAATTATGCCCCAAGGATTCACCCAAGAATGGCCTTAAGCATATCCTGAGTATTATAATTGTCAATCGATGTTTCCTGGTGGTCGAAATACATCGAAGAAAGACGTACCTCTTGCTAATAAAATTAAGCACGCAGAAATTTGTCAATTAAGTATTTATTGGTGGTACAATGCTTTACCGTATGCCATATAGGTATGAGCCCTAGGTATGCACGGCCTCGCCCCCTTCTGCCAATCTAATTGAAATTTCGACCTCATGTCTCAAGGATGGTGGCAGCATTTGAGCTCCAGCAATCACTTAATAATAGGTGGTACGCCAGCTCCTTCTAAGTTCTCAATCTAGGTAGTAAAAATAAGCTCTAGATACGAACTGGAGATCTCAATAATGGTTTGCAAAATAGATATTCTTCATAGTAGAACCCATGTATGCCTCACGGTTGAATATAAATTAGTGCTTTGCGTATAAAAACTGCCAAAGTGAAGCCAATAAATTTGTTATTACTAATCCATCATACACGATGTCAAGTTGCAAATCTATGTTACGCTTCACGTTCAGACAGAATGACAAACTGCCTACGAAGATTAGATTTCGGCGGTTGACGGAGACAAAGCGATTTCGTAACACTGTAAAAGGCCTAATGCAATATTTGGATTTAAAAAATCCAAAACCACTATGAAATCAATCGTTGGCTCAATCGCTGGGTTACTATTTAAACGCTGGGTTACTGGGTTACTATCTAAATATCCGGTTAGATGAAGTACCTACTATGTTCACTAGTTTCTGGCAACAAATTTTGAATTTTGTTAGCTACTTAAATGAAAAATTCTAGGTGTACTTAAAAAACACTTAAAAAAGCAACCCAAAATTTTTGAGTGTTCTGAAATAACATACAACTGTAATCATTAGCATAGGGCATTAGAAGTCATCTATCATTAATATCCATTATTCATTTAGTATTTACTTCAAATTTAATTTCCAAATCAGATTTTTCTGGTTTCGCCAATAATAATAACAATTTTAAACCATTAACTTAACATAAAAAATATAGTTTAGTCACGATTCTTCAACACCATGTCTTTCTGAAGAAAGTGATGATAATATGGTTTTATGTTGTAAATAGAACCAGGTTGCATTAGATATTTTTGCTTGGCTATAAATTCGGTTGCATCTTTACGACTAGACCCAGAATTATAAAATTTCAATTCTACTGAGAGTTACCGAACGTAATTTGTAAGGAGAATTAAGAATTATTTATTAGTTGAACATTTTTCTTTTATTGCCCTTGTAGGCAGACGAGCATACGGCCCACCTGATGGTGAGTGGTTACCGTCGCCCATGGACTTCAGCAATACCAGGGGCAGAGCCAAGCCGCTGCCTAACGCAAAAAGCATGATCAATACTATAGATATTTTTAATAACGCCTAAAAAAAATCAAAACTGAAAGCTCTACCTGGATCTTTTAAGAATATATTATCTTAACACGAAATTCTTAAGGATTCGAAGAAATCCGAAGCTCGTCAAGCAAAAAAAAACTTTAATGTTTTCCTTTGAAAGTTATTCGATTTTCTTTGAGCGAAAAATGATTTTAGCCAAGCCGGATTTTGTAGAAAAAAATCTTTCGAGTATTACAGTAATACAAATTTAATAACACGGGCTGTTAGGAATTCATTCATTTCGCTCATAATTTCATACAATACAATAACTGCTTAAACTTTCAATGCATAAATGATCGCATTCATTTGTAAACAAAATATAAATCTATACAAATATCGAGAAACAAAGATTTTTCAATGTTAGGTCAAAATTATAATCTAATTCATCGGTCCTCCTTACGAGTGGACGATTTAAAGTTGGTGAAAAAGACATTGAAAGATTCTCTTTCATAGACAGATACAGGTCAAGCTACTGAAAGCGTGTTACCACTTTCCACAAGTATTTTTATTTATTGCTTAGATGGGTGGACGAGCTCACAGCCCACCTGATATTAAGTGGTCTCTGGAGCCCATAGACATCTACAACGTAAATGCGCCACCCACCTTGAGATATAAGTTCTAAGATCTTAGTATAGTTACAACGGCTGCCCCACCCTTCAAACCGAAACGCATTACTGCTTCACGGCAGAAATAGGCGGGGCGGTGGTACCTACCCGTGCGGACTCACAAGAGGTCCTACCACCAGTAGTACTTTAGACATTTATTTTCTGATATCTAGGAGTTCCAGTCTTAACACTAGGCAGGCCCTGAGCTCTATCGAAAATAGAATGAAATAACAAAGGCCATCAGTTACCGATGTAAGATTTAATTAACTTCATCCTATATACTCATAAAAGCACTTCTGACAATAAATACGTTGTATTGTTTTCTGATTCAATTACATGGAACGTTTCATTTTACTGCAGCAATCTTTTTAACTGTGATATTTTGCTGTCGAATTAAAAATCGACGAACCTCATGAAGGGTGATTAAAACGGAACATTAAGTATTCAGGTTTCAAGTTAATTACACAATTATCTGATAGTATTTCGTTCATTTTTTTTTTTTTTTTTTTTTCCCTACCTATGCTGATAGCCTTGAGAGGCTATTTCAGCTTCGCCCTAACGTTAGTAGGTGAGCTCGCGGGGCTCAACCGGAGAGTTGCTAACACTGACCCTAGCAAGAGCAGTGCTTCGCAGAATCTACCACCGGATCGGAAACGCGACCCACTGAGAAGATCCGGCGAGAAACTCANGGATTTGTAACCCCCCTGTGCTGCAGGACAGCAAGGAGCAGGGGGGGGGAATGCCTATGCCGTGAAAACGGCAATCGGCGGGGAAAAGGAAAGGAACCCGCTCGGGCTGTATAGTGCTACAGCAGGCAGAATCGCGAGCGGGGGTCTAGTCTTGAAAAAGACTGTTGTTTTGGGAAGGGTTAGGAAATCGCTAGCCTGTGAGTGCCACAGGAAGCCTGATCGTAGCGATTGGTTTTGTCTTGAAAAAGACAGTTGGTAAAAGGTGGGTTCGCGGTTACAATACTTTAGCGCACAAAATGGACTCCGAGACGCAAATCGCAAGCGACCAATGGATCGGCACGTCCGCACTACCGAATTGTAAGCACGATGTATTCACGGTCACTACACTGTCGAGCACAATTGTGAGTTCAGAGACGCAGCTCGCAAGCGGGCCACGGATCGGAAAGCATGTCCGCGCACGACCGAGTCGTGAGCGAGAATGTTCGTTCATTAAGCGCTGTATTTTTCTTTTATTGCTTAGTTGTGTGGACGAACTCATAGCCCACCTGGTGCTAAGTGGTAACTGGAGCCCATAGACATTCACAACGTAAATGCGCCACCCACCTTGAGATACAGGTTCTAAGGTCTCAAATATAGTTACAACGGCTGCCCCGCCCTTCAAACCGAAACGCATTACTGCTTCACGACAGAAATAGGCTGGGTGGTGGTACCCACCCGTGCGGACTCACAAGAGGTCCTACCACCAGTATTTTATAATTTTTAAAGCGGAATAGAAAAAGATTTGGACTTTTTTTGAGAGATGGAAACAAATGTGAGCATTTAAATTGGATAGTTTTATTTGAATAATTTCATTTTTAACATGACGTGCGTTTGATTATGGGATGCATTCTTTGGAAATGTTCCTAATGCAAATAGAAAAGCTTATATATGATAAAGCTGTTATTGAATTAATTTATCCATTACTTGAACGATATTGTTCAAAACTTGTATTTTTTTGATTTTGTTCACTAGTGAAACCATGTGACACTCCGATATGCCTATCGCTCATTATAATATGAAAAACATCAAATTCTTTAAAATATATTTTTACGACATTACCTTAATGGTACTATGATATAAAATCTGTGGAGTACTAACAATAGATAATACAAATAGTTTAAGGAACACTGAAAGGGTATTCACAATTTACAATTTAATTGTAAAATTGCTACTCTGTTTAATGAGTCGACTAAAAATGATTTTATTGTAAAAAAAGCGTGGGGTGCTTTTCAGGATATCAAAATAACCCTTCTACTCATATCTGTTCATAAAATATTTATAACTGCTGATACCATGCACCCCACGCATTTTTTCTTACACTTACATTTTTAATTCAAATTTATTAAAATTTAATTTTAAATTTTTAGTTGGATTTTCTATAAAAGCATTTTTTTTTATCTATTATTTATTTTTCATTTTTTAGTTGAATTTCAATTTTTTCAGTATTTTTTTTAATATTGAATTGTCATTGGTCCTTAATAAGTATGCCAAATTTCGAGTTAATCCGGGGTCAAAATCATCTTCAAAGATTCCGTTACGTACTAAGATACATACGTCTGAAGCTAATAAAAGCGTATTAAAAATGACATAATTTTTTTTCTTTAGCTCTCAGTTGTCCACTGATGGAGTAACCATCTCAGCACCCTCGGAAGCAGGCCGCTGGTCTCTCTGGGCTCTGTCACTCTCCAACCGCGGTCTTCGCTTCTCCACTCCGAAGACCATCAACGTGTTCAGGCCCATCCAGCTGGACTTCTCTTTACCTCCCGCGTTAAAAGTCGGAGAGACCGTGGAAATCGACGTGAAGATAACCAACAACATTAATAATTGCATGGACGTGAGTAATCTTGTTTTTTAATCAAATACAAATAAAAGGAAGTGAACTTGCACCACGCTTCTCTGTGGGAACTGTAGTAATTTTTTTTTTATTTTTTTATTGCCCTAGTAAGCAGATGAACGTACTGCCCACTTGATGGTGAGTGGTTACCGTCGCTCATAGATTTCAGCAATACCAGGGACAGAGCCAAGCTGCTGCCTATCATCAAGTACTCTCCACAAGTCATATGTATTTAGAATACGCCTTTTTAATATAATAATTCGCTGTACATATGGTACGTTATGGTCCGTTTTCTAACCCAAAAACTCTCTTTAAAATACATAACAATAACAACAAGTTTCACATAATTCTTAAATTTGAAAACATTTCTCATAATATAATTTTATTAATTTTCATAATCCATAATAAGGTTGTGTTCTTATGGATATAAATAAGCAAATGTATACTCTAAGATTGTGTTACATTATAAAATGCTATGCAATAGCTTTACCGTGGCAGTTCCCGAGTGCCACACGTTTGTTTTTTTTAAACTTCAAGACTTGCGCTTTTTAAAGTGCAGGTCCGACCTCGCGTGGAGTACTGGTCTCACCTCTGGGCCGGGGCTCCCAAATACCAGCTACTTCCATTTGACTCCATACAGAAACGGGCTGTTCGGATGGTCGATAGTCCTGCTCTCGCGGATCGCTTGGAACCTCTGGGTCTACGGAGGGACTTCGGTTCTCTCTGTGTTTTATACCGTATGGTCCATGGGGAATGCTCTGAGGAATTATTCGAAATGATTCCTTCATCTCCTTTTTATCATCGCACCTCCCGCCATCGGAACAGAGCTCATTCATATTATCTGGAACCGCTGCGTTCATCGACAGTGCGTTTCCAAAGATCTTTTTTGCCACGTACCGTCCGGCTTTGGAATGAACTCCCCTCCACGGTGTTTTCCGAGCGCTATGGCATGTCCTTCTTCAAACGAGGCTTGCGGAGAATACTTTATGGCAGGCAGCGGCTTGGCTCTGCCCCTGGTATTGCTGACGTCCATGAGCGACGGTGACCACTTACCATCAGATGGGCCGTATGCTCGTCTGCCTACAAAGACAATAAAAAAACGTATTTAAACGAATGGAAGCCATCATGGATATGTATTCCCCAACGTTTTTCGCTGGTAGCCCTTAAGAGCATTTCTCCGGGTTGATAGATGAGCTTACGATGCTCACTCTGAGAGAATTTGCTAACACTAGCCGTAGCAAGAGCAGTCCTTCGCTGAATCTACCACCGGATCGGAATCGCAATCCACTAAAAAGAACCGACGCCGAAGTTGGCGTGTTGTGTTTATGGGTTAAGTTGCACGTCAAACTTTTGAACCGCGAGAACAATAACCGGTGCTTAGAGTTCCTAAAAGCATCGAGAGTGGATTGAGAAGATCCGATATGACGTGCTTAGAGCGACGGCTGGTCGTTTCCCTGTCGTCTGGGTCGGGTATATAAATAAGGGGAGTATATAATTAGGGGTTTATCGTGTTGCCGCTTTTTCGAAGAAGTGTTCTGACGCTGTCTTTAGGAACTTACGTATCGGTTCGGTTAAGGATGTAGGGATGACATAGTGTTATATAAAAATGTTGGGTTATTACTAGTATTGTCTGGCCTGTTAGTGTAGGCACAACAGAACTATCTATTTTCGTAACTTTGACCACATATCACAAGGCACATAGATATCGCAACGTGAATGCCATTCACTCCAAAACTTGAGGTATATTAATTATTTAAAATTACAATTTATTGCGGGATTCATTTTTTATGAAACGTTATTAATCCTTCATTGTGAAAGTCATTTATGAACATATTGTGTAATGTATTTCATTCGAAAAAGTGGCTAACCGGTTAACCCCTAGTGAAATAAAAAAAATGTGAAAACTATAATCGTCTACTGTGGCCTCAATATTCCCACGTTGGAGGTGATCGTGGATACAAGGCATCATCTGGCTTATAATCTCATTCTGCTTTTTAATTTTTTCGTGACAGATATCTCCACCAGTCAGAAAATGTAATTAATAAGACCCATAGTGAGAAATATAAATAAATACAAGTTCAGTAAACAAAAGCGTATGCCGTATTTATTCAGCAGCCAATTATGTACGGACGTGTAATCCACATAAACCTCACGGCTGGTGTAGCTCATTGCTGCTTTAGAAGCTCAGCTCCGATCACATATACGACCGTACGTTACGAACAAATAAATGGCCTGTGAAGGATTTTCTGAACGATAAACAGTTCACTTTATGTGCTGTTTGAATTTCGATAACATTCGTACTCCAAATGTATGTTTAGATTATGTTTCAAAACGATTTATTGAAGTTATGTAATACATTTGTATAAGTAAACTAGCTGTACCCGTCCGCTTCGCTGGGCATTTAAAATTAACATTATTATTTCTCACCCCCACAAAGATTCTCATCATTAACGCTCCCGCAACTGGTATAGGGAGTCCAACACTCATATAAATATTAGCCTATCCATTAAGTACATGTATTTTCTACATGCAAACCAAGTTTCAAGTCAATCGGATGCATGATTCAATAGTTATTAGTTATAACGGAACATCCGTAAAAACCACTGTAGTTTTATATATTAGTATAGATATAGATACGTATCTACGAGTAATACCTGCGGGATGGTAAAGATCTGGCTCGGGAATGAACTCCCTTCCATAAAGTTTCCTGAGAACTATCAGTTGGGCCATAGTAACTAAGTATATTATTATGCTCTTCTGTTAATCATTTTGAACAATATAATAACGACTATATTGAACAAATTTAATAAAATTCTTGACTAATCCTGCCGATTACGATGTCACTCAACTACTTTCGTCAAAAAGTGAAAGTACTTATTATCTGTATCCATCACGATTTTCCACATAAGCGCTTTATTTGTTTAGGATAGAAACAAACATTGTTGGGATTAACCCATTATTTGTTTATTTTTATTAATGTTTAACTTATGAAAACAATTACGTACTATGTTGAATTAATCCTACATCTAACTGAAAATATAAAACGTATTGATTGTTTAAAACCGATTATATTTAATCATGAATTAATCCCATCAAATCTATAACATATATAAAAATGAATTGCTATTCGTTAATCTCGCTAAAACTCGAGAACGGCTCGACCGATTTGGCTCATTTTGGTCTTGAATTATTTGTGAAAGTCCAGAGAAGGTTGAAAAGGTAGATAAATATGAAAATGCTCGGAATTAAGTAAAAATAACAATTTCGTTTTTCCTTTGATGTGTCCCCCGTCGGACGGATTCCTTTTGTTTGTTTTAAGTTTATTTTACACAAAAGCTTAGGTATTTTATTTATCGATTGAGGCACTACGAAGTCTGCCGGGTCAGCTAGTGTTCGATAAAATTCTATAACCTGGTCTTATACATACATAATACATATATGGTCATACATGGTTATGTATGGGCGTAAGCTCGTTCATACAAAGAAGTCAATAATGAAACCTTCAATTAGCCAGAATTACCACTTAATATACCTCAAGTCATGCCCGCGTAAATCAAACGGGAATTCTGTAATTTATCTATATATTAATACGTGAAGCAAAAACTTTGTATCCCTTTTTACGAAAATTGCGCGGACGGAGGAGTATGAAATTTTCCACACTTATAGAGAATATAGAGAAGAAGTGCACAATGCTAATTTTTTTTTTTATATAATGCATAAAAGATACATTAAATCAATAAAGAAAACATTACACACACTACCATGTATTTGACACACACACGCATGCATACTATTACTATTTATTGTCAAACTTTTGTTCTTGACGTCTGTGGTAAAATTGAGAATAGATTAAATATTGTTTGTCTTTATTAATATTTTTCTATAGTGTAGTCTTGGCGTTGAAAATACAATCATAATAGTGTACAAACTTACAATTTCAATTAATTATAGTCGAATTTCGACTACTGCGGGACCTCTAGTCTAAAAAAATTGATCAAGTAATATATTGATTCGTTTCGTATAAAGAGATTGTGTACTTTGAATAAAGCTTTAAAAGAAATTACTTATATTGCTATTACGTAAATAATTATGTTACGTTAATTAATTACATTATATGAATTTTGACAAAATCTTCACATGATCCATACCAATATTACAACAGTTAATAGCGCTAATTGTTCTGATCCTGAAAATAATAAGAAACTAAGATCTGTTAAACACTATGCACTCTTTTAATTCGTACTACATTTCATTGCTTTTTTTTATTGCTTAGATGGGTGGACGAGCTCACAGCCCACCTGGTGTTAAATGGTTACTGGAGCCCATAGACATTTACAACGTAAATACGCCACCCACCTTGAGATATAAGTTGTAAGGTATCAGTATAGTTACAACGGCCGCCCCACCCTTCAAGCCGAAACGCATTACTGCTTCACGGCAGAAATTGGCGGGGCGGTGGTATCTACCCGCATGGACTCACTAAAGGTCCTACCACCAGTAAGAAATTTGAATTAATATTGGCTAGAATTCATAGAGGCCTTATTATTCGCTTCGTTCGATTTAATGATCCGATACGTCAGAGCCATGAGGCTCGGATCCGTCCGTTGACATGCATCCACCGCCAGGATACGAGTCTGAAGCGTTCGAACCGGGATATATTGCCTAATCGCTCCATTTGCCGGGATACGCGCGCGGGATCCGGCGGATCATCTCGGGAATCCCTAATCGGGATTCGGCGAACGGGGTCGATTGCAAACAAATAGCTATTACACGTACTCTTCATATCTCCAACTTCGGTTGGCGCCCGTCGAATGTCAAAACGATTTCGATGGGAAAGAGTCCATGGTTTTTACGGCTTGATTACGCCTCAGGATGTCTGGTATTTATTTAATCATTCGGAAAATTCCGATTCAATGGACAGGAAAAATGAGAAATCTAAACAGACATTTTCGGGGCGAACGATGCTTACTCGTGCAAATCGAAAGTAAGCAAATCTTCTT